ATATATATATATATATATATATATATATATATATATATATTTATATTTATTTATTTATTTATATATAGATGTTTTTCGGTGGGGGGGTGACACCATTAGATACAGCAACGGGTGACACCCGACCTAGCGACGCTACTGCAGCCCATTAATGCGTATCTTACGAAAGTTGGGTTCTAGAATCTAGGGGTATATAAATAACAACAGACAAATACGACGTATACAACAATAACACTAACACTCTATAATAACAATAATAATAAGATATTTAATAATATATACAGTACTTAAATAATAAAAGGATCAAAAGGGGTCTACAACATAAATACAATACTCAACACCACGTTCCATGTTCCACGTCCACAGCCACACTACAACTAACTGATTCACACACTGGCACACGCTCTGACACCCGTCACCTGGCACACCTCACGTGAACACCTCTCGCTCCATGTAAACACACTCAACCAAGGGATACAACTATACACCAAAGGGAGGGTACCTGTCGTTCCAGCACACAACACACACACACACACACAAGCAGGGGACATGTAAGGGACGTAACATATATATATATATATATATATATATATATATATATATATATATATATATATATATATATATATTTATATATGCCTATATAGATGTTTTTCGGTGGGGGGGGGGGGGGTGACACCATTAGATACAGCGGTTCCCAGAAAGAACCGCAACGGAAAAAAGCGCAACGGAAAAAAGCGCAAATCAAAAAGCGCAACGGAAATAAGCGCACACGGAAAAAAGCGCAAAGAGAAAAAAGCGCACACAGAAAAAAGCGCAAAGAGAAAAAAAGCGCAAACGGAAAAAAGCGCAAAGAGAAAAAGCGCACACAGAAAAAAGCGCAAAGAGAAAAAAGCGCAAACGGAAAAAAGCGCAAAGAGAAAAAAGCGCACACGGAAAAAAGCGCAAAGAGAAAAAAGCGCAAACAGAAAAAAGCGCAAAGAGAAAAAAGCGCACACAGAAAAAAGCGCAAACAGAAAAAAGCGCAAACGGAAAAAAGCGCAAAGAGAAAAAAGCGCAAACGGAAAAAAGCGCAAATCAAAAAGCGCACACAGAAAAAAAGCGCAAAGAGAAAAAAGCGCAAACGGAAAAAAGCGCAAAGAGAAAAAAGCGCACACAGAAAAAAGCGCAAAGAGAAAAAAGCGCAAACGTAAAAAAGCGCAAAGAGAAAAAAGCGCACACGGAAAAAAGCGCAAAGAGAAAAAAGCGCACACAGAAAAAAGCGCAAACAGAAAAAAGCGCAAACGGAAAAAAGCGCAAAGAGAAAAAAGCGCAAACGGAAAAAAGCGCAAACAGAAAAAAGCGCACACGGAAAAAAGCGCAAACGGAAAAAAGCGCAAACGGAAAAAAGCGCAAACAGAAAAAAGCGCAAACGGAAAAAAGCGCAAACAGAAAAAAGCGCACACAGAAAAAAGCGCAAACAGAAAAAAGCGCAAACGGAAAAAAGAGCAAACAGAAAAAAGCGCACACAGAAAAAAGCGCAAACGGAAAAAAGCGCAAACAGAAACAGAAAAATGCGCAACCAGAAAAAACACAAAGAAAAATGTGCAAAAGAGAAATTTAGCACAAAGACCATATTATGGACTAGATGACACATTTATACATGACTGTTAGGGCTGCTGTGAGAGTGTCGTGTTTGATCACGTGATCTACTACCATTTAAAGCGTACCACTACCATCTGCATTCCCATCACCACGATACAGGCGATAATCACTTTACACAATGCCTATTATTTTCTTGGTCAATAATTATTCAACTACTACTCTCTGAATAAATTTGAATAAATAAATTTGAATTTGACCTAGATTCTAGGTGCGTAAAATCGGCCGAGGCTAGTAATGTGGGAAAAAGTTGGTAATCTATCGTTTTAGGTACGTAAAAATCGCCCGCGGGTAGTAATGTACAAAAAAGTTAACTCATTGTCAAGGCTTTAATAGAAGTATATTGTGATATATTTGTGTCAAATATTATAGATAAATGAATAATAAACTTAAATCAATGGCTAAATATATCAATATAGGCAAGAAATTATCTTTAAACAGCAGTGTTTGCGAGCAGGATTTGCTATATAAAAAGCGGCCATCTGTAAGTTAGAGTGGCTTCCCCTGAATCTTGCGCTATAAGTTTACTATAAAAAAAAATAAACAAGATGGCTGCTATAGTAAATGAGCATGGTTGCTTCTGTTGTAAACATCGCTAGTCTTCATTTACTACTGAAAAGTTTTAATTCAATTGTTTAAAAACAGGTACATAAATGAAACAAGGGAACATTTTTGTATTTTTCAAAACATAAATCCTCCTCAAAATGTGAAATAATTATTAAAATTTAAGGAGTCACCTGTTTTTCACATTACTAGTTGCGGGCGATTTTACATACCTAAAACGATAGATTACCAAAAAGTTGCCTCATTGTTAAGGCTTTAATAGAAGTATATTATGATATATTTCTGTCAAATATGTGTGTTTTTATAAGTTTTTGCACAAGGAAGACTTTCCCATATTAAAACTTTTGCATCAAAGTTCTGTTCAAATTTTGGAACAACACTTGTGTGAACAAACATTTTCAGGATTGAAATACGTGAAGAACAACTTGAGAACAAACTTGGACTTGAGTGTGTTGTCGGCCCCGACACTTAATATTTCTATATAAATTATATTTCGTTGGGGGTGGGGACGTGCGGTAGACGTTAGGGGGAAGGGGGGATGGGGGGGGGGGGGGGGGGGACACCATCACTGAAGAGATGCCTCGAAGAAACTCTGGCCCCCGAAGTAATATTTGCTAGTTAATGCGGCTCTCGGGCTGAAAGTTTGGAGACCCCTGACCTAGTGGATAAAATATGGATGTGCATTATTCAGTGGTCATGTTTAAATTGAAAACTGAGTGAATTTTAGATTTACCGAGTATATCTACTAGTATTAGATCTAGTCTAGATTCTAGGTCTAGTAACTAGACTCTTCTAGTCTAGTGCAAGTCCTACATTCATGTCGACACTAAACTACACTTACTTACACAACAGTAGATATACTTTTTTATTAGGTCTTTAGGATAAGTACTAGATTCTACTACTTTTGCCTACTACTGTACTAGACTCTAGCATACATACATTTGAACAAAAGATTTAATTGGAAAAAAATTATTTAGAAAAACAAAAAAGAGTGATCTATGACATTATTACAAACACCTTTTTGATTCCTAGATCTAGCTCAAGGGTTAAATTGTTAATTCAATATCTAAATGACTAAATGTTGAATAATTAAGAGTTTATATTTTAGTAGCACGACTTACTACAGTTTTAATTAAATTATTTCCTATTTTAATGTATTTTTAATTGCTAAGTAGATTCTGTTTCTATAATAGGTAATAAATTGTCTGTCAACTGAAAGCAGACCTTAAGTAACATCTGACCCCATAAAATGGCTAGGGATAGTTGCGTTGTTATATGTTTAGTCAAAAAGGAAAAGTGGCATTCTCACATGAATAAAAACTTTGATAATCTCGCAATATGTTACTGTTTTAAAAAAGCGATAGAATATTGGGATTAGAATCAGTAATACAATTAGTGTTAAGATTAGGACTAGGTGTTTCTTTTCTTGTTCAGGTTGAGGTTAAAGTTTTGATTAGGGTTAAAGATATTGTTTGAGCTTCTATTCTGATAAAAGTTTCGTTGGCGGTAGCAGTTTTGTTTAAGAAGAAGGTGCAGGTTTAAGTGAAGAGTAAAGAAAATTTCATCAGACTAGCATCCATTGTATTTTTCTTTAATGCTTATTATCAAGTCTGCAATATTACTCATAATTGCTATCAAAAACTTTTTTTAATTAAAAATATTAAAGATATTTATTGTCAAATGTTGTAGAGAAAATCCAATAGCAAATGAGATTAATTATTTTTATATTTCTTATAATTGCTAGTATAGAACAGTATTCTGACCTACTATGGTGACAGCTGTGCTAGAGAACTGGGAACTTGGAGGGTTGGAGTTGTGAGCAAGAAACGTTTAACAAACATGGAGAATAATGAAGGTGGTATCTAGCAATTTGATTTAGTACATATATCTCCTAATCCTTATTGCTGTCTTAATAGATTTTCATGTCCACTGTTGTATCAGTCATCACTTTGTTTGCTGTATCAGTTAGTAGCCACTGTGTCCACTGTATTAGTTAGTAGCCACTGTGTCTACTGTATCGGTTATTCACCACTGTGTCCAATGAAATATGTAATATTAAAGAAATATTTATTGCCAGATTTTAAAGAGATAATTAATTTATGAAAATAGATTATTTTTATAAAATAAATAGCTATTTCATTTAGTACATACATCTCCTAGTTCTTATTATTGATGTAGTTGATTTTCATGTTTTGTGAGTTAGTCACATGTCCACTGTATCAGTCATCACTGTGCCCACTGTATCAGTTAGTTATTACTGTGTCCACTATATCAGTCACCAGTCTCCACTCTATCAGTTAGTTATAACTATGTTGGCTGTATCAACAGCTATCAGTTTAACTATTTTAATCTATAAATTGTCTTAAAATTGTTTGAAAACAAATAAAGAAAATTGTTTTACAGATATCTATCCATGTCTACATTGCAGTATGGCTTTTTCAAAAGTTTCTTATTTAAATGCACATTTGCAATACAAACATGGTCAAGATAGGGCTGTCAGTAGGAGCCTGGATGCCATTGATAATGCAAGTCAACTCTCTTCCCAAACATCAAACTTTAATCAACACCATATCATGTGTATAAAAGAAAAGCCTCACAAATGTGACCAGTGTAATAAATGTTTTCTGAACCATGCTTCATTAAAAAAACATCTTAGAGTTCATACAGGAGAAAAGCCTTATAATTGTGGCGAATGTGGTAAATGTTTTACAACAGCTACAAATTTAAAGAGACACTTAAGAATTCATACAGGAGAAAAACCTTACAAGTGTGACAAATGTGGTAAATGTTTCACTCAGGATGCTAGTTTACGAATCCACCAAAGAATTTATACTGGAGAAAAATCTTTCAAGTGTAACAAATGTGGTAAATGTTTCGCTCGGGATTATAGTTTACGAACCCACCAAAGAATTCATACTGGAGAAAAACCTTATAAGTGTGTAAAATGTGGTAAGTGTTTTAAAGGAAGTGGTTCTTTAATAAAACACAATAAATCTCATTCAGGAGAAAAGCCGTATAAGTGTGTGAAATGTGGTAAATGTTTCATTGATGATGTCCAGTTAAAGCAACACTTTAAAATTCATAGAGGAGAAAAGCTTTACAAGTGTAACAAATGTGGTAGATGCTTCACAAGGGTTGGCAATTTGAATATACACTATAGAATCCATACAGGAGAAAAGCCTTTCAAGTGTGACAAATGTGGTAGATGCTTCACAATGGTTGGGAATTTTAAGAGACACTATAGAATCCATACAGGAGAAAAGCCATACAAGTGTGCTGAATGTGGGAAGTGTTTCATAGAAAGTTCACGTTTGAAGACACACCTTAACATTCACACTAGCCAAAAATCCTACCAGTGTGATGAATGTGGTCTTTGTTTTTTAAAGCTGAGCCACTTAAAGAAACACTTTATAATTCATACAGAAGACAAGCCTTACATGTGTGAGAAATGTGGTAAATTTTTTCACAAGCTTTGGGATTTACATAGGCACAGTTCTACAATTCATGGTAGAAAAAAGCCTTATAAATGTGACAAATGTGATAAAAGCTTCACACTGCTTTGTGATGTACAAAAACACCTTGTAATTCATACAGGGGAAAATCCTCACAAGTGTGACAAATGTGATAAATGTTATTTGAAGGTTAGCTCTTTGAAAAAACATGAAGTAGTTCATACAAGAGAAAGAACGCTTAAGTGTGACAAATGTGGTAAATGTTTCAAACAGACTGGTGGTTTACAGAGACACCTTAGTGTTCACACAGGAGAAAAGCCTTACAAGTGTCATGAATGTGGTAAATGTTTCAGACTTAAAATTAATTTAAAAATACACAATATAATTCATACAAGAAAAAAGCCATATATGTGTGATCACTGTGGTAATTGTTTCACCCAGCTTGGCATTTTAACGAGGCACCTTAGAGTTCATACAGGAGAAAAGCCTTACATGTGTGACAAATGTGGTAAAAGCTTCAAACAGTTCGCACATTTGAAGAGCCATCATAGAGTTCATACAGGAGAAAAGCCTTACATGTGTAAGAAATGTGGTAAATGTTTCAATCGAAGTTATTTATTACAGTGCCATTTTAGAATTCATTCAGGAGAAAAGCCTTACATGTGTAAGAAATGTGGTATATGTTTGCGATTTCGTAGTCAATTCAGAAAACACCTTAGAACTCATACATAAGAAAAGCCTTATGTGAGTGCCCACTGTGGTCAACATTTCATACAGGTCTCACATTTACAGAACCACTTTAAAAAAAACCATTCCATACTAGGAAATTTTGCAAAAAATTATTTAAGCTTTACCAATCACAGAAACACTTTAAAATTAAAGTGTGATAAATGTTTTACAGCAAGTTATCAATTACAGAGACAGCTTGAAATTCAAAATAAACAAAAGCCTAACTAGTGTGGCAAATGTTTTTAAACAGATGCCACATGTACAGAACTGCCATACAATTCATACAGGAGAAAAGCCTTAAATGTATGATCAATGTGGTAATTGTTTTTTTAAGCTTTGCATTTTACAGCAACACCTTTGGATTCATACAGGAGAAAAGCTGTATGTGTGCCCAATGTGGTCAATCTTTCATGCAAATCTCTCCTACATTTAAAGAATCACCATCAAAAACAAAATCATTCCACTTTAGACAAATTTGGTAATAGTGGTTTTTAAGCTAAAATTCATGAATTAAAGACACACCTTATAATTCATAAATTAGAAGAAAAGACATACAAGTGTAAGAAATGTGGTAAATGTTTTACAGAGTTTAGCATATTGAAGATACACCGTACAGTTCATATTGGAGAAAAGCCTTTTGAGTGTGACAAATGTTGTAAAAGTTTCAAAATGAATGGTGATTTACAAAGACACCATGAATTCATACAGGAGAAAAGTCTTACAAGTGTGACACATGTGGTAAATGTTTTACACACTCTTATAGTATACAGAGACACACAAAAATTCATACAGCAGAAAAGCCTTACAAGTGTGCCCAATGTGGTCAATCTTACATGCAAATCTCACATTTGCAGAACCACCATCAAAAACAAAATCATTTCACTTTAGATAAATATGGTAATAGTGTTTTGAAGCTTTGCCAATTGAAAAAGGACCTAAAAATTCGTACAGGAGAAAAGTCTTTATTTTAAGTGTGATATATGTGGTAAATATTTTGCTAAAATTCATGGATTAAAGAGACACATTAGAATTCTTAATTTAGAAGAAAAGACATACAAGTGTAAGAAATGTGGTAAATGTTTTACAGAGTTTAGCCTATTGAAGATACACCGTACACTTCATATAAGAGAAAAGCCTTACATATTATGGATTACAGATACACCTTAAAACTCATGCAGAAGAAAAGCCTTACAAGTGTGATGATTGTGGATAATGTTTCAAACAGCTCACACATTTAACAAGCCACCATATAGTCCATACAGGAGAAAAGCCTTACATGTGTAAGACATGTGGTAACTGTTTTTCAAGGCTTGGTCACTTGAAGAGACATCTTAGAATTCACCTAGGTGTGACCAGTGCAGTACAGGTTTTTAACAGACAACACCATACAATTCACACTTGAGAAAAGCTTTATTAAATGTATCTTTTAAAGTACTATGTTACAGAACCACCTTAAAATTCACACAGGAGAAAAATCTTATAAGTGTTTAAGTTTTTCTTTCAAAGTACTACTATAATAGATTGACGACAGAAGCCTGTGGTTGTATATAACACGTTTAATGGGTCTAACTACATCATGATGGTAATACCAGAGAGGGGGGAAGGAAGTACTCAAGGGACATCACTCAAGATAACAATATAATAAATATAACTAATACAGAAGAGTGAGTTCCCTTGACCTCACAATTATTTCAATCTATTACATCCCTTTACCCTTAGAACACAATAACACATCTCTCAATAGAACAATTGATAGTATCCTAAAATCACCAATTATATTGTAACATGAACATTATGGTAGATTACATCCTTACAAACAATGCACAATATGCCACAACATAATCAAAATACAAAACAATAATGTCAAAGTCCTTTTGACCTTTAGAATCATAGGTCTAACTTATTTGGGACCTTGATTGTCCTGCTTGACCTTCTCAGTGGCTTTTGATTTGGTGACTCAATATTCTGACCATCTGGATTCTCTATCTCAGGAGGTCTAGGATTTAAATCATTAACTCCAGAATTTACATTTTCTGACTCCAGACAACTTGGTTCACTCATATCAACAGAACTTGGTTGTGGAACAACTGAGTTGGTGTGAACTGTTCAGATTTGGTGGGATTGATAGATTCACACTTATTATCTGCACAAGTTATTTTTAACTTTATAAGGCACAGGTCCTGTACATTGAACAATTTGACCTGGTATCCATTTTTCCCTTCTCCCATAATTTCTCAGATACACATTATCATTAACACCAAATTCTCTTTCAATGCATGAGTTGTCATGATTTAATGGAACTATTTTTGAATTGGCATCTGAAAGTATTAAATGGCAAAAATCTTTTTTCTTTTGATGTTACCCTTTTAGTTTCTGTAAGTGCTAATGATGTTAGCAAAGTTGTTTGATGATCACATTCCTTCTTACTAATGTATTTTCTTTAAAACATTTGAAATTGCCATATCACCATAATCATTTATTAAGTTACAAGTACTTTGTTTAGGCAACTCTGACTGATAATGGACTGCATCTTCTCCATCTTTTATATTATCTTCACAAAAGTTTTTAATTTCTTATTTCATATGGCCTTAAGTCCTCATTCACTGACTCTTCAGGCCAACCATTCATACAGTACTCATATACTTTTATTAAGCACTCATCTTTTTGTGTTTCTCTTTTAATATCATTCACATTTATATTGGAGTTATCCATGATAGTGAAGAGAACAAATACATCTTCTGGTACATAGCTCAGGCTTTGGTTTTTTAAAGGTAATCTACTAAGACTATCTGCACTATTCTCAGATCCAGGTTTGTATTTCAATTCATAATTGTATGCAGTTAGTGTGATAGCCCATCTTTGAATTCTTGGTGAGGCATGCTCAGGTAGGGTTTTGTTTTCTCCAAATAAACCTAGCAATGGTTTATGATCTGTAAAGATGGTGAACTTCCTACCAAACAGAAACTTATGAAATTTCTTAACACCAAAAATGATGCCTAAGCCTTCCCTATCTAACTGAGAATAATTTTTCTCAGCCTGGTTCAAAGATCTACTGGCAAAAGCAATGGGTCTGTCACCCTTCTCATCCATGTGGGACAAGACTGCTCCTACACCATCTGGTGAAGCATCACATGTTAATATAAGTCTTTTCCCTGGGTCATAGTGAGTTAGTAAGGTGTCAGCAGACAAAGCCTCTTTTGCTGTATTAAAAGCAGCTTCTTGTTGTTTACCCCAGTGCCAAGTTGCATTTTTCTGTAGCAGCTTGTACAGTGGTGATAGTTTACCAGACAGATTTCCTATGAACTTTGCATAGTAATTTATTAAGCCCAAAAAAGCTCTTAGTTGTTGGGTATTTTCAGGTTTGGGTGCTTCTTTAATGGCTTTTGTTTTCTCAGGTTGAGGTCTGATGCCTTGTTTGCTCAATATATGACCAAGAAAACTAATTTCTGTCAGCATGAATTGACATTTATCTTTGTTTATCTTTAAACCTTTTTCACCAACAATTTTCAATACTTTATCAAGTGTTTTAAGATGTTCAGTGTCATTCTTACCAGTTATGTACACATTGTCAAAGTACACACAAACATTTGGAATGTCCTTAAAAATACTGTCCATGACAGCTTGGAAAATTCCAGGGCTAGATGATATGCCAAAACATAGTCTTTCATATTGGTAGAGTCCTTTATGTGTGTTTATTGTCGTATAGACTTTTGAATCTGGATGCAGTTCTAGTTGAGTGTAAGCATGACTAAAGTCTAATTCAGTGAATTTGTCTCCTCCTGCCAAATTCAAAGAAATTTCCTCAATGTTAGGTATAGGGTACCTATTTAGCTCTATTTGCTTATTCAGTGTGGCTTTGTAATCTCCACAAATTCTTATAGAACCATCCTTCTTTAACACTGGCACAATGGATGTCGCCCAATCGGAATAGTCTACCTTCTTTATAATGCCATTAGATTCCAATCTACTTAGCTCATTTTCAATTTTGTTCCTCATTGCATAAGGTGGAACTCTAGCTTTGCAGTATCTTGGATTTGTATCTTTAATGCTTAACTTCACTGTTCTATCATTTAGTAATCCATGATTACCAAAAACACATTTATTTTCAGATATTACTTTATCTAGTGAAGTAAGACTAGATTCTTTTACATTCTTCAATGAACAAATACTCTCCCAATTTAACTTAAGATCACTTAACCAGTTCCTACCTAGTAATGGCGGTCCATTTCCTTCAACCACAAGAAGAGGAAGTTTAACACTTTGACCATTATAACTTACATGAACCATACACTCTCCTATTACCGGAACATTGTCACCAGTGTATGTTGTTAGACACTTGTGACATGGCTGTAGAGGCACTGATCCTCCTATGACAGCGTCAAAATCTTTCTTTGTTATGACTGTTAGAGATGCTCCAGTGTCAAGTTGGAAGCTGATGCTCTTACCGTTGATATAAACTGGTACATTGATGGGAGCATGACTTATTGATTTAACAGAGAACAGGTTGAAATCCGGCTGCAAATCAGTTTGAGCATTTTCACAGGTAGAGTGGTTCATTGGTTGAGTTAGGTAGTCTTGGTGAGAGTTAACATAGTGCTGCTTTTGGTTGCGGTACTGTCTTGACTGGCTAGATTTAGCAACAGACGAAGACTTTGCAAAGCAGGCCTTGGCAATGTGACCTTGCTTACCGCACTTATAACAAGTTGCAGACTTGAACTTGCACCGATGAGATGCATGGGGACCTTTGCATCGATGACATTTTTGATAATTATTACTAGATTTAGATCTAGGATTTGAACGAGCAGGCTGTTTAGCATAAGTTGGAATGCTCTGATGGGGTTGATGTTTATTGACTAACCTGCTGTTTACTGCATGGATCTCTGAAGGTGCTAAAGATCTCGCCGCATCTGATGACTGCTGGATTGAAGTTGCGAGTTGTATTGCTTTTTCCAATTTTAGATCTGACTCAAGCAGCAACTTTCTTTGAATATCAGGGCTGTTTACACCTGTCACAAACTTTTCACATAATCTGTCAGACAGCGTGTCTCCGAATTCACAAAATTCACTTAAATGACGTAAAGCAGCAACATATTCTGATATTGACTCGTTTGGTTGACGAGTCCTACTGTCAAATCTAGCTCGACATAGAAACTTTGATGGGGTAGGCGCATGGTGGTCTGTTAGCAATTTGCTCAGCTCGTTAAAGCTCTTGGTAGTTAGACTAGCTGGTGCGCATAAGTCTTTTAGTAGCCTAAATTGTTGAGGCCCTATGACTGTTAACAAAACAGCTCTCTTTTTGGCTTCTATCGTCACGTCGTTAGCTTCTAGGTAAAAGCTTAACCTCTCTAGGTAATCTTGAATGATTTCATCATTCGCATCAAATTCTTTTATTTGGCCATACAGCGCCATTATTCTAGAAATAATTAGCTAATAAGCTCTAGCAAACCTCTTTTTTGCGTAAGTAGGTGCTCTTTCTAGTAGATGTTTATCCCATCCTCGTCGCCAGTTATAATAGATTGACGACAGAAGCCTGTGGTTGTATATAACACGTTTAATGGGTCTAACTACATCATGATGGTAATACCAGAGAGGGGGGAAGGAAGTACTCAAGGGACATCACTCAAGATAACAATATAATAAATATAACTAATACAGAAGAGTGAGTTCCCTTGACCTCACAATTATTTCAATCTATTACAACTACATTACAGAACCACCTTAGAATTCACATCCTTTCATCTGTAGGAAATTTGATAAATGTTCTTCATACAGGAGAAACACCTAATGTTCGACAAGTGTTTTAAGTTTCAAACAAACTTTTTTTTTTAAATTTTTTATTCCAAATTTTACTTTACAAAACTACCTTAGAATTCATGAATGAGAAAAGCCTTACAAATGAGGTAATTGTTGAATGTTTTGCACCAAGAGTTGTTTGAAAGAAACTGTTTTAACCATCAAAGAACCTAATTAT